CGCGCTCTCTCACGCACTCTCTCACGCGCTCTTGCATGCGCACTCTCACGCGCTCCCGTGCACACGCTCCCCCGCGCTCCTCTTCTTTAAATAGAAGTGCAATGCAAGAGGAAACGAATTGACTAACAAATTTACAAGGCGAGCAGAGAAGTAAAATATAGGGGGAAATTTCAGAAGGGGGCGGTAGGATTAAAGGACCGAGAACGCACCTAATAATCAGAATGCCTCAGAAACAACCCTCGCTGGCGCACCAACCCGCGCTCGCGCACCAAACAGCGCTCGCGCACCCTTCCGAGCTCGCGCATCGACCCGCCCTCGCGCACCAACTCGCGCTTGCGCTCGTGCACCTGTCGCCAGAGGCGACGGAAGGGAGGAGGGAGAGGCGACGACAGGGAGGAGGGAGAGGCGACGGCGGGGAGGAGGGAGAGGCGACGGCGGGGAGGAGGGAGAGGCGACGGCGGGGAGGAGGGAAAGCGACGACGGGGAGGAGGAGAGGCGACGGCGGGGAGGAGGGAGAGGCGACGGCGGGGAGGAGGGAGAGGCGACGGCGGGGAGGAGGGAGAGGCGACGGCGGGGAGGAGGGAGAGGCGACGGCGGGGAGGAGGGAGAGGCGACGGCGGGGAGGAGGGAGAGGCGACGGCGGGGAGGAGGGAGAGGCGACGGCGGGGAGGAGGGAGAGGCGACGGCGGGGAGGAGGGAGAGGAGATGGCGGGGTGGAACGGAGTGATTGTGAGGTGGGAGAGAGAGGCGATGGCGGAGTGGGAGGGAGAGGTGACGGCGGAAAGTGAGGGAGAGGATACGGGAATGGGAGGGAGAGCGACGGCTGGGTGGGGTGGGAGGAGAAATAGCTAGAGAAGAAAGTAGCGAGCAAGAACGGAACCTCAGGAGGAACCAAGAACGGAATCAAGAAATGAAGCGTCGAAATCGAGTTTGACAGCTGTGAAAGGGATGGATACCTTGGGCTTGGTTGGTTTGTCGTGGAGCTGGAGATAAATTTTCTGCCAGCGCAGAATGAGGCACCGAAACTTTTCTCTATTCATAGAAGTATGAGCACAAGGGCGAATGGCAAGCTTAAAGCCGGCGCCTAGAATGGCGAAGGTTCAGAATTACTGAACTTGAAAAGGGTTGTGCGAAGGTTGACGAGAGGAAAATTCGCAAGCGGCAGGTGGCGAAGGACTAATGCTCTAGTTTATCGCAATACACTGTATTGAACAAGCACCAACGACAAAACAAAACTCAACCACTCTCACACAGCGCATAACTCAAATTTCGCTCAAGTCCACAAGCTCTCTCTAAAAGCGTGCGTAAGTAGTACCAGTAGATAGAAAGAACATCAGTTTACGAAACTAAGCATCCAGACTAAGATAGCTAGGTATAACATGTGAGAACATATACGGTGCCGCCAGAATCGTGAAGAATCCGAGGACCGAGGGAGGGAATGTGGCGCGAACGATGCGAGTGTGAAGCACGGAGATAATGAGCGGCACGGGATGAGAAAGTAGAGAGTTGTCGACCTCGTTTCCCACTCCCGTCGCCCTCGCTTCCCCCTCCCGTCGCCCTCGCTTCCCCCTCCCGTCGCCCTCGCTTTCCCCCCCGTCGCCCTTCCATCCCCGTCCCGTCCCCCTCCCATCTCCCTCGCGTCCCCCTCCCCTTGCGCTCCCATCTCCCTCCCATCCCCCCCGATCCCCCTCCCTCCCATCGCGCTCTTATCTCCCTCCCCTTGCGCTCCCATCCCCTTCCCATCTCCCTCCCATCCCCCTCCCATCTCCCTCCCATCCCCGTCCCGTCCCCCTCCCATCCCCCTCCCATCCCCCTCCCATCCCCCTCCCGTCCCCCTCCCGTCCCCATCCCATCGCCCTCGCTTCCCCTTCCTGTCGCCCTCGCTTCCCCCTCCCGTCGCCAAGGCTTCCCCCTCCCATCGCCGTCGCTTCCCCCTCCCATCTCCCTCGCTTCCCCCTCCCATCGCGTTCGCTTCCCCCTCCCGTCGCCCTCGCTTCCCTCTCCCATCCCCCTCGCTTCCCCCTCCCATCCCCCTCTCTTCCCCCTCCCATCGCCCTGCTGATTCCTCCCCCGCCCCACTCTGCTTCCCCTGCTCATTCTCCTCCCCCCGCCCCACTCTGCTTCCCCTGCTCATTCTCCTCCCCCCGCCCCACTCTGCTTCCCCTGCTCATTCTCCTCCCCCCGCCCCACTCTGCTTCCCCTGCTCATTCTCCTCCCCCCGCCCCACTCTGCTTCCCCTGCTCATTCTCCTCCCCCCGCCCCACTCTGCTTCCCCTGCTCATTCTCCTCCCCCCGCCCCACTCCGTTTCACCTGCTCATTCTCTTCCCCTTTGCTCACTCCGTTTCACCTGCTCATTCTCTTCCCCCTATTCGCTTTCGTTCTCTGTTTCCCTTTCACTCACCCCCATTTCCAACCCCGCAGAATACAAGTCCCAGCACCATGGCCCAGCGTTTATTGCAAGCAGTGTAGCACACAAGAGTGGATAAAAAAAGAAACATTTCCTAGCTGTCATCTTTGGGTTGATCATCAGTTGTTCCCTTACAAAAGAAAATTGTTTCTGTGTTGCACTTTTTTGTAGTGGTCAGGTGCACGGCAGCTCCTAAGCTCAGGGTTTGTATTATAACAAAGCATCCAACATCAATACATGGCATGGCTAGTTCGTGGTACTATCAAACGCCAACACATCACCACAATCAGATGCATAGAGGGCCTGTACAAACACAAACCAGGAAATAAGATGTGACATGGCCAAATAGCAGGTAAACATACAAGAGAGTGGCAGTGCAAGGGAGGCGAGAGCCAACATTATGTATGAATCTGGATAACGCAAGACCTCTCGATTTACCTAAAATTACATCAGAATAGGAACAGGACAGAGTATGCAGATGACAGAGTGAACAGAGGAGTGAGCATGGTGTGTAAGGGAGCAGGGTGTGAGTGAGCAGGGTGTGTGAGTGAGCAGGGTGTGTGAGTGAGCAGGGTGTGTGAGTGAGCATGGTGTATGAGTGAGCATGGTGTGTGAGTGAGCATCGTGTGTGAGTGAGCATGGTGTGTGAGTGAGCATGGTGTGTGAGTGAGCATGGTGTGTGAGTGAGCATGGTGTGTGAGTGAGCATGGTGTGTGAGTGAGCATCGTGTGTGAGTGAGCATGGTGTGTGAGTGAGCATCGTGTGTGAGTGAGCATGGTGTGTGAGTGAGCATGGTGTGTGAGTGAGCATGGTGTGTGAGTGAGCATGGTGTGTGAGTGAGCATGGTGTGTGAGTGAGCATGGTGTGTGAGTGAGCATGGTGTGTGAGTGAGCATCATGTGTGAGTGAGCATCGTGTGTGAGTGCGCATGGTGTGTGAGTGAGCATCGTGTGTGAGTGAGCATGGTGTGTGAGTGAGCATCGTCAATGAGTGAGCATCGTGTGTGAGTGAGCATCGTGTGTGAGTGAGCAGAGCGCGGGCACAGCGGGGTTACCCACGGCGGGGAGAAAGGAGGAAAGGGGCTGAGAGAGAAAGGAGGAGAGGGGCTGAGAGAGAAAGGAGGAGAGGGGCTGAGAGAGAAAGGAGGAGAGGGGCTGAGAGAGAAAGGAGGAGAGGGGCTGAGAGAGAGGAGGAGAGGGGCTGAGAGAGAAAGGAGGAGAGGGGCTGAGAGAGAAAGGAGGAGAGAGGCTGAGAGGGAAAGGAGGAGAAGGGGCTGACAGGGAAAGGAGGAGAGGGGCTGAGTGAGAGGGAAAGGAGGAGAGGGGCTGAGAGGGAAAGGAGGAGAAGGGCTGAGAGGGAAAGGAGGAGAGGGGCTGAGAGGGAAAGGAGGAGAGGGGCTGAGAGGGAAAAGAGCGAAGGGGCCAGCAGAGAGGGAAGGGACGGGAGGCGAAGAGAGAGGGACAGCGAGGGAGGGAAGGAGAGTCGAAGAGAGAGGGACAGCGAGGGAGGGAAGGAGAGGCGAAGAGAGAGGGACAGCGAGGGAGGGAAGGAGAGGCGAAGAGAGAGGGACAACGAGGGAGGGAAGGAGAGGCAAAGAGAGAGGGACAGCGAGGGAGGGAAGGAGAGGCGAAGAGAGAGGGACAGCAAGGGAGGGAAGGAGAGGCGAAGAGAGAGGGACAGCGAGGGAGGGAAGGAGAGGCGAAGAGAGAGGGACAGCGAGGGAGGGAAGGAGAGGCGAAGAGAGAGGGACAGCGAGGGAGGGAAGGAGAGGCGAAGAGAGAGGGACAGCGAGGGAGGGAAGCAGAGGCGAAGAGAGAGGGACAGCAAGGGAGGGAAGGAGAGGCGAAGAGAGAGGGACAGCGAGGGAGGGAAGGAGAGGCGAAGAGAGAGGACAGCGAGGGAGGGAAGGAGAGGCGAAGAGGGGGAAGGGCGGAAATTAGAAGAAATGGAGCAATGCGGGAGGGGAGGAAAGAGAGGGTTCGGTGAGAGATGGGAGGGAAAGGAGGAGGACATGTGTGGGGATAAGGACGAGAAGCGTGGAGGGAGAGGGAGGGCGAGTGAGAGGGAGAAGGGGGAAACGGAGGAAAGGACTAGGGAAAAGGGAGGGAAAACAAGACGGGGAGGGGAAGGGAACGAGACGGGGAGGGGAAGGGAACGAGACGGGGAGGGGAAGGGAACGAGACGGGGAGGGGAAGGGAACGAGACGGGGAGGGGAAGGGAACGAGGCGGGGAGGGGAAGGGAACGAGACGGGGAGGGGAAGGGAGCGCGACGGGGAGGGGAAGGGAACGAGACGGGGAGGGAAGGGAACGAGACGGGGAGGGGAAGGGAACGAGACGGGGAGGGGAAGGGAGCGCGGCGGGGAGGGGAAGGGAACGAGACGGGGAGGGGAAGGGAGCGCGGCGGGGAGGGGAAGGGAACGAGACGGGGAGGGGAAGGGAGCGCGACGGGGAGGGGAAGGGAACGAGACGGGGAGGGGAAGGGAGCGCGACGGGGAGGGGAAGGAAACGAGACGGGGAGGGGAAGGGAACGAGGCGGGGAGGGGAAGGGAACGAGACGGGGAGGGGAAGGGAGCGCGCGGCGGGAGGGAAGGAACGAGACGGGGAGGGGAAGGGAGCGCGACGGGGAGGGGAAGGGAACGAGACGGGGAGGGGAAGGGAGCGCGACGGGGAGGGGAAGGAAACGAGACGGGGAGGGGAAGGGAACGAGGCGGGGAGGGGAAGGGAACGAGACGGGGAGGGGAAGGGAGCGCGACGGGGAGGGGAAGGGAACGAGACGGGGAGGGAAGGGAACGAGACGGGGAGGGGAAGGGAAAGAGATGGGGAGGGGAAGGGAGCGCGACGGGGAGGGGAAGGAGCGCGACGGGGAGGGGAAGGGAACGAGACGGGGAGGGGAAGGAGCACGACGGGGAGGGGAAGGGAGCACGACGGGGAGGGGAAGGGAGCACGACAGGGGAGGGGAAGGTAGCACGACGGTGAGGGGAAGGGAGCGCGACGGGGAGGGAAAGGGAGCGCGACGGGGAGGGGAAGCGAGGGCGACGTGCAGGAATAAAAAAAAAAGAGCCACGAAAAGGGAGAATGACGAGAAGGCAATATGTGTCGGGAATGACGGAAGGGAGCGCCACGGGTAGGGAAGGGAGCGCGACGGGCAGGGAAGGGAGCGCGACGGGCAGGGGAAGGGAGGGCGACGAAAAGACGGTGATGGGAGGCGACGGTACCGCCGCGACGATGGAAATGGCATTTGCCGCCGCGACGCTATTGATGGTCGTGACCGTCACGACATTGGGAACGGAAGTGACATTGGCCGCGAAAGATGGAACTGGAGTGCCCTGAACTGCCTACGGTCGGAATGGTGGTTGACGACCACCATTCCGACCGTCACAAGAGCTCTTAGTCAAGGCGAGTCGTGTGTTACGGCGGCAGTCCTGAAAAAAGAGTGACGCGAGTTTGTGACCTTGTGAGGGAATGGGAGTGACGGGGAGGGCGAGATAAATAGGAGGGACAATACGAACGGGCGAGACGGGATGAACGAGCGGGAATGAGTGCGCTAGCAGACACGTTCGCTTTCTAAGCTATGGAGCCTCCTAGATATCGAGTCTAGTATGGTCAGTTTCACTTTCAAGTTTGCTAAAGTATGAACAGTAGCCTGCGTGGTTGGCTTTTGTGGCGAGAGGGTTGATAATTTTGCCTGTGTTCATCTCAGCCAATCAGAATCCCCCTCCCAGAAACTGTTTCCGGTGGTTGCGAGGGTGGGAAAGCCCCAACCGGGTTACCCTGTTTTTGGCGATTTCAGGTTCAAGAATCTTGAACTTGAGCCCTTGCCATTCTAGACTCGGGCTTTAAACAAAACCTGGGCACTTGGCAAAAAAACGCTCACACTAAACTTCGAAGCTAGTGTTACGTGGAAACACATGCGCGCCACGCCATCCAACTAGCTGACACATCATATACGGTACAGTAGTTGCAAACATAAAAACCCGCTATGGTAACCTGATAGAACAATAGCTATAGGTAAAAAAAATCCATTATATTCCAATCACAAAAAACTGTACCATGTCAATTAACACTCAAAACAATTTCGAGGGAAGAAACATCTAGGAAATATATTTTCTTCCATAATATTTGTAAATTGCTTCTATAAGTATAATATACTTCATAGGGGATACAACTCTACGCAACCCTTCCGACGTAAACGTCGAGTCTTGTTTTTTTTAGAACACCGATGGGCTCTATAATCAATTGACACATTGCAATCACTTCTCATTGACGTTTAGAGTTACTCAATTTATTCATCTCATAGGTTACGGATCGAGTGCTATTTCTGTGACCGAAGCTTGCACAAGCGAATACATAGAAATTTGCAGATCATGCAAATGTGCTATCAGGTGGAGTTGACACGCGGCACACGACAGAAACGGCCACCAGAAAGCGGTTCGGGTGCTAGGATGTACATAGGTACAGTCGCCGAAGGCGCTTCGCGTGATCCCGGCGGTTTGACCAGCTGTTGAGGCGTCTTGAAGCTGAGCGCTGCGTCAGTAGTCCCGACACGACCCACTTCCTCTCACGACCGTACTTACGGTGTAGTCCCAACGCGACTCCACTCTCTCGTAGTCTCGACGCGCGTCGACTCACTCATAGTCTTGGGAAGCCACGGAAACGGAGCAGAGATGGCGCCGCAGCTCGTGCTGATGGTGCGATCTCTCGCACTTACTCGAGTCTCATTCAGCGCTCCAACCAAGTCTGTTTGAGTGTGTACGAAACACTGCAGCTTGAGGCGCCACACCCAAAAAAAAAAAAAAAAAAAAAAGAGTCGCCCTCCCCTCCTTCGCCCTCCTCCGCGTCACCCTCGTCTCCATCACCTTTGGCAAACCACGGACCCTTTTCCGCTCTAATTCACCGATCCCCTCATTTCCTTCGTACCTTCATGTAACGCCTGTGGGCTAGTGTGTTAAGGGCAATCCGCTGCGCCAAATAACACCCTCGTTTTGACCCAGTGGGTAGCGAGGTGTTACGTTTGGAATCAGAGCCTAGGGTTCGAATCCTGGCTGGACCACACTTTCCGCCTTCGGCGAGAACTGAAGTGTGGTTGTAACCAGCTCGAACCCAGCGAACGATCCTCCGCTGGCCTGAGCAACCAGCGAAGTCGCAGCTAGCAGCACTGCGAAATCTAGGTCCCAGCAGCAGGGGGCCGACTCCCTGAAGTAAAGAGCCAACGGGGACGTTGGCGCCAGGGGGGGACGAGTGTAACGCCTGTGGGCTAGTGTGTTAAGGGCAATCCGCTGCGCCAAATAACACCCTCGTTTTGACCCAGTGGGTAGCGAGGTGTTACACTTCATCCCCTCATCCCCTCTTCATCTCCTCATCCTCTGTTCCAGTCACCCCTCAACCCTCGTCGCCTCATTGTCTCACCCAACCCGATCGCTCTCAACCCATCACTCCCTTTCCATCCCACTCTCGTCATCCCACTCACCTTATCCTGTTGCATCGTCCAACCAATCCCCGAGTGCCAGGTGGCAGAGAAACCCAGCATCGCTCTCACCATCACTCCTTTTCCATCCCACTCTCGTCATCCCACTCACCTTATCCTGTTGCATCGTCCAACCAATCCCCGACTGCCAGGTGGCAGAGAAACCCAGCATCGCTCTCACCATCGCTCAAGTCATGTCGCACGGGCAGGTAAAAAAAACTCGGGCAGGTGAGAGCATACACGGGCGGGTGATACCATGCATGGGCAAGAGAGAGAACTGATACGCTGTGCCCATGCCAAGGAGCAAAGGGACGTTCAGTTGAACTCAGCAGACTCACTTCACTCGCCGAGCTCTTTCTCTAGTCGTTACACTTCTTCAATTGCATTGTCTGATGACCCGCTGCTTGCTGTGCTGCCTGCCTGCGAGCACACATGCCTGCGAGCACACATGCGAGCACACATGCCTGCGAGCACACATGCCTGCGAGCACACATGCCTGCGAGCACACATGCCTGCGAGCACACATGCCTGAGCTAAATTCACTGCTGGGGCGTTCCCGTCCTGTGGGACGTCTCCCCCACTCCCCATATGGCCTCTCGTCGCTCCTGCCTGGAAGTGCGCGAGTACAACGGTGAATTCCAAGGAGGCCCTGCTTGCTCGCTGTGCTGCCAGCACATGCCTGAGGTTCATTCATACATCCCATCCTCATACCCCCTCCCCGCTCACCCTCCACTCTCCTAGATGGCTTCCCGGCGCTCCTGGTTGGACGTGCACGAGTTCAACGGTGACTTTCGAGGAGGCCCGGCTCGCTTTAGAGTCACGTCTGTCATCGGCCACGTGCTCAGGTGAGCTGGAAATAGTCTCACGCGGTCCCTTGACATAGGCGTATACGCAAGTTTCCTTCGATATAAGCACTAGCTTCAACTTACCTGCTCCGTACAGAGTTATGTCTGTTACGGGCCATGTGCTCAGGTGGGCTTGAGTTTGACATAATCTCTCTCTCTCAAACGGTTCAGGCAGGTCACAAAACATGCAGTTTTATCCGGTGTACCCTTAATCCCAGTTAGAGTCCCTCTACTCCTCCAGCGTGTGGCGGACGTCCCCGAGGTGCAGCGACCATGAGTCCGCTGCCATCTGGGGGTGCGCTGCCTCGATCCCTGCCCTGGCCTTGGTGTGCAGGGCGTTCGCCTGGGAGCGCTGGAGGCCACTGCCCAGCGACGTGAAATGAGGGTGTTTTTGAGACGTCTCAAAAACACCCTCATTTCACCTGCCCAGCGCTGGCTCAAGTGGCGGGCCATCTTCTTAGCGGATTTCTCCAAGGGTTGGCCCTGCAGCGGTTCCTTTCTGCTGCAGTGGCCAGTAGCTTCAAGAAAACCGTCGTGGGGGGCGCATTTGCCCCATACGTCCGTGGCCATACATCTTGACGGCCAGGGCGCAGAACACCACGTGAAAAAAGGGTGTTTTTGAGACGTCGTTAAAAGCTTCAGGAACGCCGTTGTTGGTGGCGCATTTGCCCCATAGGTCTCGACGGCCAGCCAGGGCGCAGAACAGTGTTCTCCTTTTGCCCGAGCTCGTGTTCGGTGTGCCGGTAGTACTCTCTTTGCTTTCGCCTCTATGCTTCTCTTGCTGCCCACCCCGGGGGCTTGCGGGCTGTGGGGCCTCGGATGTGCACTGCAGCACGGGGTCAGTGATGGTGGGGTCGGTGTCACACACGATTACACATCCGCCTTCTTCGGGTCGTCCGGCGGTGAGTACATCGCTTTCTCAAGGTGGACCACCAGCTGCGCCTCCTGATAAAAGTAGTGTTTTGAGACGTCTCAAAAAACTAATTTTATCACGTGGCTATTCTTTTTCGGGTCGTCCGGCGGTGAGTACGTCACGTTCTCAAGGTGAAGCACCAGCTGCGCCTCCCTAGCCATCTTTGCCACGGCAGAGGCTGGCTGGTTGTGGGTACGTGTCCTGTCCGGGCCAGTGCTGCAGCGGAGAAGGTGTTTGGGTAGGCTGCAGTCAGCCACAAGTTTGCCACACTCGCACACGGTAGGGACGTTCTGTCGGATGCCCATACGGAAGGCCAGGGCTGCTCGGAATTGGCCAGGTGAGAAGTAGAGGTCCGGGGTCAGAGGTAGGGCCTGTAGCCATGCTCCCGCTCCTTCGCCTATCACGCTGATGAGGCAGAGAGTGTGTCCCATTTCAGGGGTTGACTGGATTGTGCGGGAGTCCTCAGTTAGAGCCTCGGCTTTTGCCGCGTGAGCCTCCTGTAAAAGGATGCGTTGCAGTTGGTCCTGGGACGGGCTTTGCTGCTCCTCACTCTCTCTCACTCTCTCTCACGGAACCTTAAAAAGAATGGAAGAACCAAATGAAGAATGAGATGGGAGAATGGGTGGTATGGTAAGACAGTGCGTGCACGACGAGTGTAGAGTGGTCGGCACACACAAGCATAAACACACGAAGAGAGACACACACAAGCATAACACACATTGACACACATATTCAGTTCTTCTGTGCTCGCCAGCTGCTCTTCAACCTCCTCCAACCGCACTCCACTCTTCTTCAACTCCTCCTCCCTCTCTTCCAGCCTCCCCTCGGTCTCCGCCAGCCGTTCCCATGTCTCTTCCGACTCCCCCTTCGTCTGCCCGAGCTGCCCCAAAATCTCTTCCAACTGGCCCTAAGTTTTCTGCAGATGCCTCTCACTCTCCTCCAGCCGCACTTAGGGGCAGTTGGAGCGCACTCAGGCATAGCCGGAGGAGAGTCAGGAGCAGCTGCGGAAGTCTGAGGAGCAGTTGGAAGATATTAACGGTCAGCTCAGGCAGACGAAGGGGGGCAGTTGGAAGAGACGCGGGAACGAATGGCGGAGACCGAGGGGAGGCTGAGAGAGAGGAAGGAGGAGTTGAAGAGTAGTGGAGAGCGGTTGGGGAAGGTTGAAGGGCAGTTGGCGAGCACAAAAGAAGAGCTGAAGGTGTGTGTTAATGTGTGTTATGCTTGTGTATGTGTCTCTCTCTATGTGTTTACATATGTGTGTACCGACAACACTACCAACTCACCATGCACGCGCTGTCATCTCACCCATTCTCTAGTCTCATTCTCTCTATCTCTCTCACACACACACTCACACACGGACGTGCACACACACGGACGTGCATACACACATCCGCGCGCGCGCGCACACACACACAGATACACTCACACACACCCACACACACCCACACACACCCACACACACTCGCACGCACGCACACACAAGGGTTATTGAAATAAGCACACCAGCTCATCAATTTGGTTCAGAGTTACATCCGTTGACGGTCATGTGCGCATGTGGGCTTAGTAGAGTCACAACACAAGACAAGGATTTTATTTATTTATTATTATTTTTTTTTCTTCTCAACTCATCACCCACTGCTCAACCCTTCTTGCCAGTCCAGCACTGACGTCCCCCCACGGTATCAGAGCTGGGATGCCATTGACTAACCTATGTTTACCTCTTGTTCCCCCCTTCTCTTCTCCTCCAGCATTGACTTCCCCCCAGCTATCAGAGCTGGGATGCCATTGACTGACCTATGTTTACACCTTGGCTCTCCCCCAACCCTTCTCCCTTTCCGCCCCAGCATCGACTTTCCCCCCAGCTATCAGAGCTGGGACGCCACAGACCCAGCATCACTCTTCACTGCCCCCACTGTCAAGACGGAGTCCAACCCCAAGGTGCGTCGCATTTTGAATCCAGGTGCTCTCTTAGGAGATGCAGTAAGTTCAACCCCAAGGTGCGGCATTTGAAGTGCCGAGTTTAAGCCCTTTCGAAAGTAGTGGCAAGCCTGAGTCCAATCCCAAGGCGCAGCAGAGGCGCAGCGGAGGCGCAGCAGAGGCGCAGCAGAGGTGCAGCAGCCATTCTTCAGCCTCTTTCGAGGTTTCTCAGAAGCCCACTCTTCACTGCCCCGACCACAAGACAGAGTCCAACCCCAAGGTGAGGCCGCTGTAGTGCTCAAGCCTACCAAGAATACAGACTCGCAAATCTTCAGTTCTTCTACCAACTCCTGCATAAGACAACAAAGAAAAAAAAAATGTAGAGGATTTCAGTTTGTTTTATGAAGTGCCTCGTATACAGACTCTTCTTGCCCACTCAACACCCAGAATAAATCCCAAGGTGCGGTAACTGTAGCTCCAAGACTGATCTCAAATTGAAGCTGCATTGTGGGCCAACCTAGATCCAAGGTACAACAAGTCTGGTTTAGTTCATGTGCTGTATGCATGTCTTCCCACTTGCACTCGTCCCCACTGAGTGCAACCGTTGTGCCATTTATCAAAGCAGGCTTTTTGTTTATCTATGCATTTATACCCATCCGTCATGAGATTTTGGAGACGAGTTGAATTTTGAGTCGACTCAAGAGTCAGCGTTTTTATCTATCTATGCATCTACACCCATCCGTTATGAGATTCTGGAGACGACTCAAAATCCGTACTTCCGTTTGGTTGTGCCTCTTTAGGCGAATTCCTCCCGCCCTTGCTCTCTGCTGTGAATTTCTTCCTGGCATGCTGTGCGGTACTGTGTGGCTGATGTGAAATGCGGTGCAGGCGCATGTGTGCAAGCACCTACAGACGGAGGCCAAGGGGTGTGATGCCCTCGTGCTGTGGCTGGACTGCGATAGGGAGGGCGAGAACATCTGCTTTGAAGGTGGGTGGGTGAGGTTCTGAAAACATCTGCTTCAGAAAGCATCCTATCTTGCCCCAAGTCACGTGCCCTCTCGCTGTCATCCCTCTTGCACACATCTCCCTTGTGGTGGCGGTAAACTCTCATTTCTTTCACTCCCATCTCTTCCCTGGCCCCGTCTTGCAATCCCAATCCACTGCAGTGATCTTCTCTGACCCGCTCCTCCATCAATCCTCTCGTCTCATCTCATCTCCTCTCGTCTCATCTCATCTCATCTCGTCTCATCTCATCTCATCTCATCTCATCTCATCTCATCTCATCTCGTCTCGTCTCATCTCATCTCGTCTCATCTCATCTCATCTCATCTCATCTCATCTCATCTCATCTCATCTCATCTCATCTCATCTCATCTCATCTCATCTCATCTCATCTCATCTCATCTCATCTCATCTCGTCTCGTCTCGTCTCATCTCGTCTCATCTCATCTCATCTCATCTCATCTCATCTCATCTCATCTCATCTCATCTCATCTCGTCTCGTCTCGTCTCGTCTCGTCTCGTCTCGTCTCGTCTCGTCTCGTCTCGTCTCGTCTCGTCTCGTCTCGTCTCGTCTCGTCTCGTCTCGTCTCGTCTCGTCTCGTCTCGTCTCGTCTCGTCTCCTCTCCTCTCCTCTCCTCTCCTCTTCTCTCCTCTCCTCTCGTCTCCTCTTCTCTCCTCTCCTCTCCTCTCCTCTTCTCTCCTCTCCTCTCCTCTCCTCTCTCTCCTCTCCTCTCCTCTCCTCTCCTCTCCTCTCCTCTCCTCTCCTCTCCTCTCCACTCGTCTCGTCTCGTCTCATTTCCACTTCGCCCCAACTCAGGATTTTTTAATCACGATTCCCCACCACCAGTGATGGCACGCGCACAGCCCATCATGCAATGCAATCACCACAGAACATATACCAACCAAGCCAGTTTCAGCGATATGGGAGAGGAGAAGGACTTTCGGCAGGCGATGGTTCGACTGGGGGTTCCTATTGAAGCAGAGGTCAAGGTGGTGGATACGAGGCAGGAAATGGGACCAGGTGTTTTCCGCACCTTCCTCCCTGTTTTCATCTCATCCCTACTTCTCCCCAACCTGGGGATTTTCAAACCTTCCCTTCCACCAGTGATGGCGCTCTCTCAGCCCAGTATGAGGTCCCCTCAAACCGTGTGTAGAGCCAAGTTTTTAACGATACGAGAGAAGGACATTCGGAAGGTGATGGCTCGGCTGGGGCTACCCAACCAGGCGGAGGCCAGGGCAGTGGATGGATACGAGGCAGGAGATGGGATATGACCACAGCTCTTACCTGCTCTCCTCCCTCCTCTCATGTTGACTTTGGCCCAACCAGCTGTTCTCCAATCCCGATGCCTCCACCACCACCAGTTGTGACACACAACAGAACTCAGCACGTGGTCACCACAAAACGTCGTTAGAGCGAAATTTCAAGCCATTGGAGAGAAGGACATTTCAGCAGGCGATAGGAGAGAAGGACATTGGGCAGGCAATGGCTCGGCTGGGTGCGCCCAATGAGGCGGAAGCAAGGAAAGTGGATGCAAGGCAGGAGACCGAATGAGACCATGGCTCTGAAGGGTATTTTTGTGAATTCTCAAAAATACCCTTCAGCATCATGGAAAGTGGATGCTCAAAAATACCCTTCAGCATCATGGAAAGTGGATGCTCAAAAATACCCTTCAGCATCTCAAAAATACCCTTCAGCATCATGGAAAGTGGATGCTCAAAAATACCCTTCAGTCAGCATCATGGAAAGTGGATGCTCAAAAATACCCTTCAGCATCAAGGAAAGTGGATGCTCAAAAATACCCTTCAGCATCATGGAAAGTGGATGCTCAAAAATACCCTTCAGCATCATGGAAAGTGGATGCTCCAAAATACCCTTCAGCATCAAGGAAAGTGGATGCTCAAAAATACCCTTCAGCATCGTGGAAAGTGGATGCTCAAAAATACCCTTCAGCATCATGGAAAGTGGATGCTCAAAAATACCCTTCAGCATCATGGAAAGTGGATGCTCAAAAATACCCTTCAGCATCATGGAAAGTGGATGCTCAAAAATACCCTTCAGCATCATGGAAAGTGGATGCTCAAAAATACCCTTCAGCATCATGGAACGTGGATGCTCAAAAATACCCTTCAGCATCATGGAAAGTGGATGCTCAAGAATACCCTTCAGCATCATGGAAAGTGGATGCTTAAAAATACCCTTCAGCATCATGGAAAGTGGATGCTCAAAAATACCCTTCAGCATCATGGAAAGTGGATGTGAGGCAGGAGACCGAATGGGACCATGGCTCTTACACTTTCTCTCCTCCTCTCATCCTTACGCCGACCCAACCCACTGCCTCCAATCCCTATCCTATTCTCCTTTGTGTGCCTCAGTTATGGCACACATTCAGCCCAGCATGCGAACTCCAAAGAACTTCTTCCGAGCTAAATTCTCAGCGATAGGAGAGAAGGACATTCGGCAGGCGATGGCTCGGCTGGGGGCACCCAATGAGGCAGAGGCTAAGGTAGTGGATGCGAGGCAGGAGAGGAGATTGACGAAATCAAATCGTCAATTTTCTCTGCAAACCCCCTACTTTCCTCCTCCCACTCCCGGCCCAAATCTCCTGTCGCCCCCCAACCACCACCAGTGATGGCCCACACACAGCCCAGCATGAGGTCACCTCAGAACGTCTTCCGAGCTAAATTCTCAGCCATTGGCGAGAAGGACATTCGGCAGGCGATGGCTCGGCTGGGGGCACCCAATGAGGCAGAGGCTAAGGCAGTGGATGCGAGGCAGGAGATCGACCTGAAACCAAAGTGTCATTTACCTTTTGAGGCGCCTCAAAAGTAAACTTCCTCCCCTCCTCTCACTTCCGCCCCAATCTCTCCTCCCCCCCCCTCCCCGCTTCCTGCAGTGATGGCCCATACACAGCCCAGCATGAGGTCACCTCAGAGCGTCTATCGGGCGAAATTTTCAGCGATTGGCGAAAAGGACATTCGGCAGGCGATGGCTCGACTGGGGGTACCCAACGAGGCGGAGGCGAAGGCAGTGGATGCGAGGCAGGAGATCGACCTGAAAGTGGGGGTGGCGTTCACAAGGTTCCAGACGCGCTTCTTTCAAGGGAAATACGGCAACCTCGACTCGTCCCTCATCTCGTGAGTGTCTTGGGGTTGTATGTGTCATGGAATCCACTTGTCTACCTGGCAAACCAATTTCACCCATTGGAGAGAAAAGAAAAGTACTCAGCTGGAAAGAAGGCGATGGCTCGGCTGGGGGTACCCAACGAGGCAGAGGCCAAGGCAGTGGATGCGAGGCAGGAGGTCGACCTGAAAGTGGGGGTGGCGTTCACACGGTTTCAAACTGAGCCTGGATTGAAACAGACAGGGATAGGGGTGATTGGCCTGAAAGTAAGGGCGGTGTTTACAATGTTCCAGACGCGCTTCTTTCAACGGAAACATGGGAGCCTCGACTCGTCGCTCATCTCGTGAGTGGCTCGCTTGGAGTGATATAGGGTCTGGGCACGTTTTGTCTTTCAGATAAGGGCCTTCGTCATTTGGAATGAGGGCCTGCAATCCCCTCCTTTCTCATCATGTCATGAGTGGTAGGTCTGGTTCTTTTGAACATATTCTCGATACTCACACACCATGCATTCACACACCATGCATTCACACACCATGCATTCACACACCATGCATTCACACACCATGCATTCACACACCATGCATTCACACACCATGCATTCACACACCATGCATTCACACACCATGCATTCACACACCATGCATTCACACACCATGCATTCACACACCATGCATTCACACACCATGCATTCACACACCATGCATTCACACACCATGCATTCACACACCATGCATTCACACACCATGCATTCACACACCATGCATTCACACACCATGCATTCACACACCATGCATTCACACACCATGCATTCACACACCATGCATTCACACACCATGCATTCACACACCATGCATTCACACACCATGCATTCACACACCATGCATTCACACACCATGCATTCACACACCATGCATTCACACACCATGCATTCACACACCATGCATTCACACACCATGCATTCACACACCATGCATTCACACACCATGCATTCACACACCATGCATTCACACACCATGCATTCACACACCATGCATTCACACACCATGCATTCACACACCATGCATTCACACACCATGCATTCACACACCATGCATTCACACACCATGCATTCACACACCATGCATTCACACACCATGCATTCACACACCATGCATTCACACACCATGCATTCACACACCATGCATTCACACACCATGCATTCACACACCATGCATTCACACACCATGCATTCACACACCATGCATTCACACACCATGCATTCACACACCATGCATTCACACACCATGCATTCACACACCATGCATTCACACACCATGCATTCACACACCATGCATTCACACACCATGCATTCACACACCATGCATTCACACACCATGCATTCACACACCATGCATTCACACACCATGCATTCACACACCATGCATTCACACACCATGCATTCACACACCATGCATTCACACACCATGCATTCACACACCATGCATTCACACACCATGCATTCACACACCATGCATTCACACACCATGCATTCACACACCATGCATTCACACACCATGCATTCACACACCATGCATTCACACACCATGCATTCACACACCATGCATTCACACACCATGCATTCACACACCATGCATTCACACACCATGCATTCACACACCATGCATTCACACACCATGCATTCACACACCATGCATTCACACACCATGCATTCACACACCATGCATTCACACACCATGCATTCACACACCATGCATTCACACACCATGCATTCACACACCATGCATTCACACACCATGCATTCACACACCATGCATTCACACACCATGCATTCACACACCATGCATTCACACACCATGCATTCACACACCATGCATTCACACACCATGCATTCACACACCATGCATTCACACACCATGCATTCACACACCATGCATTCACACACCATGCATTCACACACCATGCATTCACACACCATGCATTCACACACCATGCATTCACACACCATGCATTCACACACCATGCATTCACACACCATGCATTCACACACCATGCATTCACACACCATGCATTCACACACCATGCATTCACACACCATGCATTCACACACCATGCATTCACACACCATGCATTCACACACCATGCATTCACACACCATGCATTCACACACCATGCATTCACACACCATGCATTCACACACCATGCATTCACACACCATGCATTCACACACCATGCATTCACACACCATGCATTCACACACCATGCATTCACACACCATGCATTCACACACCATGCATTCACACACCATGCATTCACACACCATGCATTCACACACCATGCATTCACACACCATGCATTCACACACCATGCATTCACACACCATGCATTCACACACCATGCATTCACACACCATGCATTCACACACCATGCATTCACACACCATGCATTCACACACCATGCATTCACACACCATGCATTCACACACCATGCATTCACACACCATGCATTCACACACCATGCATTCACACACCATGCATTCACACACCATGCATTCACACACCATGCATTCACACACCATGCATTCACACACCATGCATTCACACACCATGCATTCACACACCATGCATTCACACACCATGCATTCACACACCATGCATTCACACACCATGCATTCACACACCATGCATTCACACACCATGCATTCACACACCATGCATTCACACACCATGCATTCACACACCATGCATTCACACACCATGCATTCACACACCATGCATTCACACACCATGCATTCACACACCATGCATTCACACACCATGCATTCACACACCATGCATTCACACACCATGCATTCACACACCATGCATTCACACACCATGCATTCACACACCATGCATTCACACACCATGCATTCACACACCATGCATTCACACACCATGCATTCACACACCATGCATTCACACACCATGCATTCACACACCATGCATTCACACACCATGCATTCACACACCATGCATTCACACACCATGCATTCACACACCATGCATTCACACACCATGCATTCACACACCATGCATTCACACACCATGCATTCACACACCATGCATTCACACACCATGCATTCACACACCATGCATTCACACACCACCATGCAGGTACGACCCGTGCTAGACGCCCATGCTGGGTCCGTCGAGGCATTATTTAGAATGTACACCCGTTTCTTCCTCCTAAATATGTATCCCATAATCCCACACACGCACATTGCATCCACCCACCCCCAATGTAGTTACGGCCCGTGCCAGACGCCCACGCTGGGCTTCTGTGTGGCGCGCCACCAGCGCATCACGTCGTTTGTCTCGGAGCCCTTCTGGGCGGTGCGGCCAATCGTGGTTCGCGACGGCCGCCAGCTGGCGCTGCAGTGGGCGCGGGGGCGGCTGTTCGACAAGGAGGTGAGATGAGACTTGGTGGGGAGGGGGGGTGCAAGGACCGTTCGAGAGAGAGGAAGTGAGGTGTGCTATAACGACGGCCACCAGCTGGCACTGCAGTGGGCTCGGGGGGCGGCTGTTCGACAAGGAGGTGAGAAAGACGGGGGGGAGGGGATTACGGAGGGGTTCAGGTGAGAGAAAGGAAGGAGTGGGGGAAGGAGTGGGGGAAGGAGTGGGGGAAGGAGTGGGGGGGAAGGAGAGGGGAGCTAAGGGGGGGCCGTCAGCTGATAAAGGGAAGGCCGCCAGCTGGCGCTGCAGTGGGCGCATGAACGGCTGTTCGAAAAGAGGGGATGGGGGCTGTTAGGGGAAAGGCAGGTGGGATGGGGGGGTAAGAGAGAGCAAGGGAGTGAGTGCTTCAGTCAGTGTTTGCCGCCAGCTAACGCTGCAGTTTTGAGGAGCGTAGCAATGGAGGGGGAGAGGAAGGGGCGGCCCACAGGGCTGAATACTCACGTCCAGTCTTCCCCCTGCCCCTTCCCTCCTTGCCTTGCTGGCAGGTTGTGGAGTTCTTTCAACGAGACGTGGCTGGTGGGGGTGCAGCGGTTGTGAGGAGCGTTGCAATGAAGGAGGAGAATAGGGGGCAACCCACAGGGCTGAACATTTACGTCCAGTCTTCCCCCTGCCCCCTTCCCCCTTCCCTTGCTGCCAGCTTGTAAATTTCTTCCAACGAGACGTGGTGGCAGAGGGTGCTGCGGTTGTAAAGAGTGTTGCAATGGAGGAGGAGAAGAGGGGGCGACCCACCACAGGGCTGAACATTTTGGAGATGCTGAAAGCTGCCTCCCCTTCCTCTCCACTCCACACCACGCACTCCCTTGCTGGCAGCTTGCGGAGTTGTTTCAAAGAGATGTGGCAGCAGGGGTGCTGCCGTTGTGAAGAGTGTGGTGGGCAAGGAGGAGAGGAAAGGGCGAGCCTCAGGGTTGAATACTCAACATTCAAACAACCCCCGACCCAACCCACCCCCCCCTTCCTTTTTGCTGGCAGGTTGCAGAGTTCTTCCAACGAGACGTGGCGGCAGGGGGCGCTGCCGTTGTGAAGAGCGTTGTGGGGAAAGAGGAGAGAAAAGGACGACCCACAGGCCTTAACACGGTGGAGATGCTGAAGGCTGCTTCGAGTGGGCTGGGCATGGGGCCGCACCATGCCATGCAGATCGCTGAGAGGCTCTACACACAGGGGTACATCAGGTGAGGGGGAACGAAAGGAAGGGGAGGCCAGGGAGACAAAGTGTGAATTTTTATCAGTGCCATGCTGATTGCAAAACGGCTTTGCACACAGGGAAGGGCAAATGAGGTGAGTGTCAGAGTGTGCCGCCACACACGGTGTGGGGGGTTGCTGTGCTCCCTTCTTCCTCATCCCTCTCGAACGGTTCTTTCATTGATAGTTTTCCAAGTACAGGCACAAGCTTTATGTTAAGAACGCATTGTGCGACTACCAAAGTTCCTTCATGAATCTGCCCAACCTGTAGTTTGTCCGAGTCTTTCATGCAGCTACCTTAGTCGAGGGTGCTGCGCTTGACGGCCTACCCAGCGGAAAAAGTGTTTACCACTTTCTTTGCACGAAATGTCAACATATGTGTGACTATATTATCACATAACGCCCTTTGCTTTCACTAGGAGGTGCTCGTGGGATTGCCGTGAGGGGAGGTGAGGTGGTTGGAACTTGGAGAGGACGGAGGGGGCGAGCCGGGGGATGACGAAGGAGAGGAAGAGGAAGAGGAAAGAGAGGAAGACGAAGACGGGGACGAGGAAGGAGAGGACGAGGATGGAGAGGAAGGGCAAGGCGGTGGAGAATGTTTAAAAGTACCGGAGGAGCAGGTGCATGCGGAGGAGCAGAACGAGACAATGTGTCAGCTGTTGTTGCATGCGAAGTAACGTAAGGAAGCAGTGCGTCAGCCGGTGGTGCATGCGGAGCAACGGAAAGAGGCAGTGCGTCAGCTGGTGGTGCATGCGGAGCAGCGGAAAGAGGCAGTGCGTCAGCTAGTGGTGCCTGCGGATCAGCGGATAGAGGTAGTTTGTCAGTGGTGGTGCATGCGGGATAGCGAAAAGAGGCAGCGCGTCAGCTGGTGGTGTTTGCGAGGCAGGGGAAAGAGGCAGTGCGTCAGCTGGTGGTGCATGCGGAGCAGCGGAAAGAGGCAGTGCGTCAGCTGGTGGTGCATGCAGAGCAGCGGAAAGTGGCAGTACGTCAACTGGTGATGCATGCGGAGCAGCAGAAAGAGGCAGTGTGCCAGCTGGTGGTGGATGCGGAGTAGCGAAAAGAGGCAGTGCGCTAGCTGATGGTGGATGCGGAGCGGCGGAAAGACCAGCTGACGCACTGCCTCTATCCGTTGCTCCGCATGCATCACCAACTGACGTACTACCTCTATCCGTTGCTCCGCATGCACCACCAGCTGACGCACTGCCTCTTTCCGCTACTCCGCATGCACCACCAGCTGACGTACTGCTTCTTTCCGTTGCTCCGCATGCACCACCAGCTGACGCATTGCCTCTTTCCGCTGCTCGGCATGCACCACCAGCTGACGCGCTGCCTCTTTTCGCTGCTCCACATGCACCACCAGCTGACGAAATGCTTCCTTACGCTACTTCGCACACACCACCAGCTGACGTATTGCCTCGTTCCGCTCCTCCGCATGCAGCAGCTCCTCTGCCCCTCTTCTGTCTCATCCTCCCTCTAACGATCCTCCACCAACCTTTCCCTCTGCCCTTCCCAGCTATTCTCGCGCCGAGTCGACAGCCTATCCCACCTCCTTTGACTATAAAGGCGCTCCTTCACAGAGGGCGTCCTTTAGATCACAGGTGTCTTTTTAGAATTCTCAAAAAACATCCTTTGCATCGCATCTTCTGAGGCACCTTAAAATAGCGTCCGTGCATCACAACTTCACCTTCTCTTTCCTCTTCGCCATTGTCCCCTTCCCCCCCTCCCCGCTACGTTCCCAGTTACTCTCGCACTGAATCCACTCCCTACGCCTCCTCCTTTGACTGTAAAGATGCCCTTGCAATACCGTCACGCCATCACATGTGGGGGGGTTACGTGCACTCTCAAACCACCTACCCCCCTTGCCCCTCTCATCCTCTGCCCCCTTTCTCTGCCCATCTTCCCACCTGTCCCTCTCCCTACCCCTTTCCAGCTACCCTCGCACGGAGTCAACAGCCTACCCCTCCTCCTTTGACTATAAAGATGCCCTTTCGATACAGTCACGGCATCCCATATGGGGGGAGTATGTGCAATCACTGCTACATCTCGGGCCCTCGCCGCCCCGCGCGGGAAAAGACGAGGGAGACCACCCGCCCATCACGCCCATGCGCACTGCAGACGAGGGGGAGCTGGGCGGCGGGGACGCGTGGCGGCTGTATGACCTTGTAACGAGGCACTTTATAGGGAGCTTCAGCCCTGACTGCCGGATCGCAAGGTGGGTATGGGGCAGGCGAAGGGGACGTTTGTCCAGTGTGGGGATGCGTGGGGGAACGTGTAGTGGCTGTATGACCTTGTAACGAGGCACTTCATAGGGAGATTCAGCCCGTATTGCAGGATTCAAGGTGCGTGTCGAGAGGTCAAGTCAGCGAGCGAGGGCTGATTTCTTCGAGTGTGGGGTAGGAAATGCCCTTTTCTCTCTTCATTTTTTTTTTCCCTCTCCTCTCTTTTTTCTTCTCTCTTCCCCCCTACTCCATCAGTTTACTGTACGTGTCATCTCTTTGCCCCTCCTCTCTTTGCCAATCCTCCTCCCTCCTGCCCCCTCCCTTCCCCACCAGGACAAGTGTCACCTTCTCAGTGGCTGGAGAGCAGTTCTCAACATCGGGACGAAAGCTGCTATCCGCAGGATTCACTGCAGTCATGCCGTGGCTGGCCGTGGGAGACGAGGGCCTCCCAACCTTCACGCAGGGGGAGAGCGTTGCGCTGAGTGCAGTGGAGCTCTACGAGGTGAGGTGTGGTGAGGTGCGGTGAGGAGAGGTAAGGAAAGGTGGAGGTATTGCCAGGCTATCCCCTGTGCTGCCCCCCTGCACTGCGGTCATGCTGTGGCTGGCCGTGGGGGACAAGGGCCTCCCGACCTTAGTGCAGGCTGAGAGCGTTGCACTCAGTGCCGCGGAGATGTATGAGGTGAGAGCAGAGGGCACGTGTTGTGAAAGCTGCTTTCCGCATGATTCACAGCAGTCATGCCGTGGCTGGATGTGGGGCGCAGTAGAGCTGTATGAGGTGAACAGCTTCCTTGCCGACTTGCTGTACCGCTTCCAATCCCTCCCGATCCCTTTTACGCGCTCCTGTACCACCACCGTAGGAAGGAACCCCACCTGCCCTGCATAGGGGAGATGCGTTCAAACCTTTCACGCCGCTGGCTGATTGACTAAAATCACTTTTGAGAATTCCAAAAGTGATTGCTCCACATAACTGTATTTCCTTTTTGAGGCGCCTCAAATATTGAGAATTCCCAAAAGTGACTGCTCCACATACTTGAACTGTATTTGCTCAGATGGAGCTAACCAGGCTGACGGAGCGACATGGAGCGGCACTGTGAGTAATCTTTCCACCACTCTAAACCCCTCTAAGCGCCCCTGTACCACTGATCACTGTCCGCACATACATCCACCCCGGACTATCTGACTGAGAGCGAGCTGATGGGGTTGATGGAACGACAGGGTATTGAGATTGATGCATCCACGGGTCTCTTCCATTCCAGCACCACCACTTGTAACTGCTCTGAGCGCCCCTGTACCACCCACCACCTTCAGGGCCACACATCCCCTCTGGACTATCTGACTGAGAGTGAGCTGATCGGGCTGATGGAGCAACAGTGCACTGACCTGTCTGCCCGTTTCATTCCGTCTCCACCGCTCTGAACCCTTACAACTCCCCTCAGGGTCGCACGTCCCCCCCGGACTATCTGACTGAGAGTGAGCTGACCGGGCTGATGGAGCGACACGGCATTGGCAGTGACCTGTATTAATTCCCTTTTCACGTTCTCCACCGCTCTGAACCCCTTACAACCCCTCAGGGCCGCACTTCCCCCCCGGACTATCTGGCGGAGAGTGAGCTGATCGGGCTGATGGAGCGACACGGCATCGGCGCTGACCTGTTCTGCCTTTTCACCACTTTCTCCACTCCACCGCTCTGAACCCCTTCTTACTCCCTATTAACAGGGCCGCACCTCCCCACCGGACTATCTGACAGAGAGTGAGCTGATTGGGCTGATGGAGCGACACGGCATCGGCACTGATGCGTCCATCCCCGTTCACATCAACAACATCTGCGAACGGAACTATGCTCAGGTATATGCAAGTACGCGCAAAGTCAGGTAGGGGTGAGGTGCGTGCGTACAACATAGGAGGGGCGGTGCATGTGTGGGGGAAGAGCGCAGTATCATTAGCACTGATGCGTCCATCCCCGTGCACATCAACAACATTTGTGAACGGAACTACGCTCAGGTAGGGTGTGAACGTGTGTGTACATAAGTGGGGAGGGGGGGGCGGGAGAGAGGAGCGACATGCATCGGCACAGAATCACAGATGCGTCCATCCCCGTTCAGATCAACAACATTTGTGAACGGAACGATGCTCAGGTAGGGTGAGTGTGTGTGCGTACAGCGTAGGAGGAGTGGTTGGGGGGGGGGGGGGGGGAGAGGGTGGTATCATCGGCACAGACGCGTCCATCCCCGTTTACATCAACAACATGTGTGAACGGAACAATTCTCAGGTATGATACGAGATTGAGAGGTGGGAAGGGCGTGGGGGGCACTCGGGTGTGTCGTTAGTCAAATCAACACCCGCATCGCAGGTAGAGAAGGGTTTGGAGGAGCGGGGAGAGGAGGGGAGAGGGGAAGAGATGGGGGGAGATGGGGGGAGAGGGTGGGAGAGGGGCGGTTGGGATAGTAGCAATGGCACGGGCGCATCCATTCATGTGCACACAGGCATAGCAATGTTGTTGCTATCAATAACATCTGCGAACGCAAAGTGGAGAAAGTGTGGTTGGGGGTGGCGCTTGTGTAGCTCCTGAGGTCCAAAAAACGTCACGAGGATCAGATTGCTCGCCTCACCACCAAGGTCTGCTGTGGAAGCACGTCTCCCTTCTTCCACATCTCATACCCACCTTGGGGGCAGGGAGAGGTGCATTCACGACAGACCTTGGTAGTGAGGCGAGCAATCAGGTCCTCGTGGCGCTTCTTGGACCCCAGCAGCTACACGAGGGCCACCCCCAACCACACCTTATCCACTTGCGCCTGCCGACAATCCATTCCATTCCATTCTCACCCACTCCATTCTCTCCACCTACCCTCCTTTTCACCAGGTAGCGCCTGGCTGTAAGACTGTGCCCACCACCCTGCGTACCATACTCGTGCACAACACATACCACCACCTCCATTCTCTCAGTTCTTTCTCTAGTCCCCTCTATCACCCGTCTCCACCAGGTGGCACCGGGTCGTAAGATTGTGCCCACCACCCTCGGCACCACGCTCGTGCGCGGGTACCAGCAGATCGATCCGGACCTTTGCTTGCCGGACATCCGACGGTTTATAGAGCAGCAGATCACGCTGATTGCGCTGGGCAAGGCGGACCACGGCAGGGTGGTGACGCTCGTGCTGCAGCAGTTCTCAGAAAAGTTCAAATATTTTGTCAGCCAGGTGGGTGGGTGTGATGGCTGTTCAGTTGTTCAGTTGCACGGGAGGGACATATCATATCAGGCGGCAAGGCGGACCATGGCAGGGTGGTGACGCTCGTGCTGCAGCAGTTCTCAGAAAAGTTCAAATACTTTGTCAGTCAGGTGTGTGGGTGAGACGATAGTAGTTCAGTCCAGTGCATTACTACCCATTGGAAACCTCACGAGGCAAGACGGACCACGGCAGGGTGGTGACTCTCATGCTGCAGCAGTTCTCAGAAAAGTTCAAGTACTTTGTCAATCAGGTGAGTGCGATGCTGGTGGTGGAGTGTGATACCCTACAAAGCAAGGAAAACTCACGAGGCAAGGTGGACCACGGCTCGCATGGACGCCCTCTTTGAAGCCCACTTCTCCCCTCTGGCCGCCTCTGGCAATCCCATGGGTCGCTGCAGCAAGTGCCCCTGGAATTGACTCCAAAAACGCCCAATATCTCCTTCGCTGCCTCTCTTCTTCCCCTTCTCGTCCAGATCGCTTGCATGGACTCCCTCTTTGAGGCCCACTTCTCCCCTCTCGCCGCCTCGGGGCAAGCCCAGCCCAGCCCAGCCCAGCCCAGCCGATGGGTCGCTGCAGAAGGAAAGTGCCCTTTGGAACAGAACCCAGTCCAAACTCACCACAATCCCCTCTGTTGTGCTGCCCTCATTCCTCCCTCGCTCTCCCAGATTGCTCGCATGGACTCGCTCTTTGAGCCGCATTTCTCCCCTCTCGCCGCCTCGGGCAAGCCCATGGGTCGCTGCGGCAAGTGCCCTTGTAATCAACTCCAAAAACACTCTAATCGCCCCTTAGCTGTCCCCGTTTGTCCCTCTCCCTACCAGATTGCTCGCATGGGCTCGCTCTTTGAGGCACATTTCTCCCCTCTCGCCGCTTCGGGCAAGCCAACTCCAAAAACACTCTAATCGCCCCTTAGCTGTCCCCGTTTGTCCCTCTCCCTACCAGATTGCTCGCATGGGCTCGCTCTTTGAGGCACATTTCTCCCCTCTCGCCGCCTCGGGCAAGCCCATGGGTCGCTGCGGCAAGTGCCCTTGTAATCAACTCCAAAAACACTCTAATCGCCCCTTAGCTGTCCCCGTTTGTCCCTCTCCCTACCAGATTGCTCGCATGGGCTCGCTCTTTGAGGCACATTTCTCCCCTCTCGCCGCTTCGGGCAAGCCAACTCCAAAAACACTCTAATCGCCCCTTAGCTGTCCCCGTTTGTCCCTCTCCCTACCAGATTGCTCGCATGGACTCGCTCTTTGAGGCGCATTTCTCCCCTCTCGCCGCCTCGGGCAAGCCCATGGGTCGCTGCGGCAAGTGCCCTTGTAATCAACTCCAAAAACACTCTAATCGCCCCTTAGCTGTCCCCGTTTGTCCCTCTCCCTACCAGATTGCTCGCATGGACTCCCTCTTTGAGGCGCATTTCTCCCCTCTCGCTGCCTCTGGAAAGCCCATGGGTCGCTGTGGCAAGTGCGGCCGGTTCATGCGCTTTGTGCCACCGAAGCCAACACGGCTGTTCTGCCCCACATGTGAAGACATCTTCAACCTTCCTCAGAACGGCGCTATCAAGGTGGGGGGGGTCGCAACTTGCAAGAAGGCTAGTGCACAGGTTGCCGTGGCAAGTGTGGGTGCTTTATGTGCTTTGTGCCGCTGAAACCAACAAGTCTCTTCTGCCCCACGTGTGAAGACATCTTCAACCTGCCTCAGAACGGTGCCATCAAGGTGAGGGGAATGTGAGGGAGGGAGGGGAGTGGGAGAGGTATCAGGTAACCTAGTTTTGAGGGGCCTCAAAACTAGAGGTATCAGGTAACCCCACACGCCTGTTCTGCCCCACCTTTGAAGACTTTTTCAATCTGCCTCAAAACAGCGCCATCAAGGTGAAAAAGTGTCACAGTCAGTAGATAAGGTGCCCCTCTATTCAATGCATTGTGTCATGGTCTTAGAAGGTACGCATGTTCCTCCCTTCTTCCAGGACAGAGCCCCATGCCGTTCAGTCCTTGTGCTCTTCAAGACTCCATTTGACGGCCACCTCTCAACGTGTCGAGCGTTGGCACGCCTCGAAACTGCCGCGCGCATGAAATCATCTTCTGTGCGCCTAATTTATTGCATCAAATAATCAACTCCCTACTTTCTCTTTTCTTTTCTCCACAGCTCTACAAGGAGCTCACCTGCCCGCTTGACAATTATGAACTGGTTCTTTACTCCCTGCCCGGACCTGAGGGAAAAACGTTTCCTCTCTGCCCGTACTGCTACAACCATCCTCCTTTTGAAGACCTGGGAAAGCCAATCACCCCTGCTACCAGTACCGCTGCCTCCTCCTCCAAACCTGCTGCCGAGCCTGCTTCCGGACCGACCTCCCAAGCTTCCTCCAGGACAGGCTCGTCGGTCTTCACTGGCATGGCCTGCACGAGCTGCCGCCACGTGTCGTGCCGCCATTCGCTGGTGAGCATGGGCGTGTGCCCCTGCCCTGAGTGCGAAGGGACTCTGGTCCTCGACCCTGTAAGTGCCCCTAAGTGGCGCTTAGATTGCAACCGCTGCAGCTGCGTTGTTTTCATAAAAGCCAACGTTCACCGCATGGCAGTGGTGCCCATGTTCCCATTCGGTGCTTCCGGCTCTTTGGTAAAAGCGCAGCAGCAGGGCAAGCAGGGGCAGCAGGTGCAGGATGGTGAGGAGGAGGGTGGTTGGTGCCCTGAATGTGGATCTGCCCGGATAATTGAAGTGGATTTTCACAAGGATGCCTCGCCGCTACCAGGCGGCGTTACAGTGCATCGCGGGTGTGTGTTGTGCGATGAACTTTTGCTGTCACTATTGGAGATGAAGCATGGGCGAGTGTTTTACGGAAGGAGGGGGAGAGGGCGTGGGAGGGGGAGAGGAAGAGGGGGGAGAGGGAGAGGGCGCGGAAGGGGAAGAGGCAAAGACGAGGATGTCCGGCTTAGTTTTAGAGATTTTTAGGAGTAATTTGTTTTCTTTCCTCGAGAGATACTGTCTTGCTTCAGATACGGTACTTTCTGTTCATCTCCACTACAAACTTTTTCACAATGAAGATGCAGTAGCAGTAAACTAGAAATGAAGTACTAGACAAACTAAGATGGATGTGATCAGCCCTACAATCAAATTTGACAAAATTTACTCCTTTACAATCACCTTCAATCGTGGCAGCTGCTCAAACCCTCCCAGTAGGGCCAGTTCCCGACACCGCCGCAAGACAAGCCTTTCGAGATTTGACAGCTGCCCGAAAGAGTCGGGCAGGCGGCGAAGCGATACCAACCAATCCAATTCTAGCTCGCGCAGCTGTGCCATGTGCCCAAGATTGGCGGGCAACTCACTCAGAAAGAAGAGATTTCGTAAGGTTAGTCGGCGAAGGGCAGGAAGCTTAGCCAATGAAAGAGGTAAGCAGCAGAGGATCGTACTACCAGATAACTCCAGCTCTCTAAGATTTGGCAATGTCTGGGAAATGTTAGGTGGTAGCGATGCGAGATCCTGGCAGTTTTTTATTGTCAGATGCGTAAGCGACGGCAGCTGAAAGGACTGAGGCAGGCTGAACGCGCTCGTGCCGTGCAGAAAGCGGAGCTGTTCCAAACGCGTACAACCCTTAGCGAGCGCGGCGAGTCCCTCCTCGCTGACGTCCCCGCAAATCATCCAGTGAATCGTCAAGTGAGTCAGGCGACGACAGTGCGTCGCGAGGCTCGCGAGAAAAGCGTCGTCCACTTGCCACAGGCTCTTCGCTTCCAGATGCAGCGCCGTGAGCGACGGATAGAAGGAATCGGAGATCTGAACGGGAAAAGTGCGTGAGTCGAGTCGGCGGCCGGTGCGGATGCGAATCGCGGAGCGCGATTGGCGCGCGAGGCGGTACCAGGAGGAGCAGACGAACGCGTGGCCAAAGGAAAGGCTGATGGCTCTTTCGTAGTTTCTGGAGAAGAAAGGCGTCACTGCAGATCGCGTAACTGGGGCAGGGTCGGCCTGGGAGAGGGAGGTGGAGAGGTACGGGGAAGCGAGGCACGGGTCGTCCTGCGGTTCGTCCGCCTCGTGAGTCTCAAGCAACTCAAATATCCGAAGAAGAAGCTCGGGAGAAAGAGTGTCAATCGGGCAGAGCAAGCGGGTCGCGGAAGGCCCAAGGTTCTGTGGAGCCACGGAGATGGCTACAGAAGGCAGTAGCTGTAGCTTCTGTGGATTTGAGATCTCGACGGTGGAGGCTCCGTCTGGCAAAGCGAAGTTGACGCAATTTGTCGGATCCTTGACTATCGCCATCGCGTGATTGTTTTTTATTTTTCAGAGAGGCGCACAAGAGGATGATCTGACAACTGTGGCTTTGCTGAGAGACAACGAGCTTCACACACTCAACGGCTTGACGGTGTACCTGCTCTGCTCATTCTGGCCTTATAACTCTCCAATAGCGGCTCATGAAAAGGACAATGACATCCGCATGCTCTCCGCGAAGCATTTTATCGAATCCTCCCAACCAAGCGTTTGTGGTAAGGAAACTCTAGGGAGGGAGATGAGACGAGACAAGGCCCTAATGCTGTTGTCAACGCCTGTTTCTACCCTTCCCCCGCTTTCGGCCATGAGAGTTCGCGGCGGTGTCTGCGCCGGCGAACACAAGACCCTCGCGGCGCGGTGTCGCGCGGATGGTTCAGTGATCCGCGGCGGAACAACTCGGTCGCAAATCATTCCGAAGGATCTCCGCGAGCAAATCCCGATGTTAGTGAAGCGGAGTCATATGGCCACCAAATCTCGCACTACTGGAACCCTTTGGCCCCTAGGAGGACGAGTTGATTGTATTTGGCCGCCAAGCGGCTCTTAGGGCTGCGGAGTTAGGTTTGTGCACGCCACGTGAGGGCCTTCCCGCCACGCGCGGATGTACTGCGGGGACAACAACACTCGCCGCGCGGGCTGGACCAGCTTCGCGACACATTCTAGGTTCTGATAACTGGGTAGACAATCCGCTAATCGCCTTCCTTGAAAGGCAAACCAAGAGCCGTCGGATCTCCTTTGCAAACTACTTGGTAGTGGCATCACCACCGTCGATACAGCCTATGGGATTAGTTCAGATGCCGCTCAGAGAGGGAGGGAACAAGAGATGGCTTGCGTGGCGAGCGCGTGGCAGGCTGAAGCCTGGTGGCTGCATGCAAACCGTTGAACTGGCATCCAGATTGCACAGAACTCAATTGGAGTCTATTCGTCATATGCAGATTGAACTGTAGTTGAGAAAACGTTAGGGAAACCCAATATGCCATGAATTTAACAATATATGTGAATACCTCCCGCACAGAAAAAACCTTACGCACATAGCTGGATTTCCTTGAATTCTTTCTCTCCCAATTCAAATATATTTTCTTAAACAGCAGACATACGGGCGACCTTGTCCCTCAAATAATACAACTTCGCCCTCCTGACCTTGCGAGTTCCTATCACAGTGATCTCCTTTATGTTGGGAGAGTACCTGCAGCCAAGAAAAAATGGGAGCAAAACAGTGTTAAAGCGTGATCACTTTTCACTATACAACAATCAGAAAGTAGGGAAGGAATTCTAGAAACACCATATCAGCGATAAACACGGCGCCATGTGAAGCAAGTGAAGCAGGTAGAAAGGCAAACACCCAAGGCATTTGAGATCCACCCCACGCCTACCACCAAACGCCGACGGCGCTGAAAATGGGCGGATGTTCATGCGGCAACCGGCACAAACAACAAACAGCGGTGTGAGCACATAAGAAACATGGCAGAAGCACCTGACACTCTCACACTTGGACACCCAAAATGGGCAGACCATTACACACTAGCCAACACCTGCCAGCACTCAGGCAAAACAAGACTTACAGAGGGAAAACCATTTCAACCCTCCACGCCTGCCAGCATGCTGCGGATGAGAAATGTGGAGTACCACCACAATCAGAAGCTGGCGGTGCTGCAAGTGACTCAAGGCATGAACGCTCGGCTCAGGCAGCTAGAGACTCACAGAGAGAAGACCATTTGAAACCCCCACGCCTGCCAGCATGCAGCGGAGAGGGAATGTGTGACGGCACACACAGCAGCTAATACTAGCAGTGCCTGAAATGACACCAGGCACTGACGTTCTGACAAGACGAGATGCACAGAGGGAAGGACACCTCAACACCCACGCCTCCCAGCACGCAGGCACTCCAGACACCCAACACGCCTTTGAGGCGCCTCTATAGCACTCACAGAAAGAAAGACGACTTGACGCCCACGCCTGCCAGCATGCAGCGGATGCGGAACGTGGAGCCGACATTGGTACAGAGCATCGAAAGACAAAAGGTGCTTGAAGTCACACGCAGCGCCGGTGTGACAGAAAATAAATGAATGAACTTACAGGGGGAAGGACATCTCGACGCCCACGCCAGCCAGCATGCGGCGAATCCGGAAAGTGGAGCCGATCCCGGCGTTCCGGCGAGCGATGACGATGCCCTTCACTATGGATGTGCGCCGCTTGTTCTCAGGCACCTCCTGGGAGAGAAGAGGGGAAAAAAGGGGGGGAAAGTGGACGTGAGGGGAAGGAAGGAATGTAAGAGGAGGAAAAGGGAATGTGAGGCTGATGCCTGCACGCACATACAGCTGTCAGTATAAACGTACAATCCCTTCACTACAATTGTGCGATCAGTTCCATACAAATCTCGATAAGCAATCACAAACCCCTGCTCAAAATTCCTAGAAGTGTCTCACACATCGACGACTTCAGGCAAAAACCCCAGAAAAGGTACATGCCCTCAGATCATCACCGCCCCCTCATAATTGAAATTCAATCATTGTCAAATGCGGCACACAGGCCCGTCTTGTGCGCACACAAGCTCTTCACTACGAGCAAACAAATTTTCCCATTTCTCTCCTGAAAAAGGAGCACGTACAATCTTCATGGAGAGCACGTCTCCCGGCTTGAAGTCTGGCATGTTGCGCTCCTGGCGCAACAAACCCGTGGCCTCTGCATCCAGAATCTGCATGAGGAGGCGGGGGGGAGGAGGAGGGGAGAGCAGGGTGGGGGAAGACGGAAAATAAAAAGCAGTACGTACAACCATCAAGCAAGCGATCGTCTCCCGGCTTGAAGTCTGGCATGTTGCGCTGCTGGCGCGGGGGGATTGGGGGAACCGGCCGGGGAACATTTTGCACTCCTGGCGCAACAAACCCGTGGCCTCTGCATCCAGAATCTGCGGGGGAAAAGGGTTGGTAGGGAGGAGGGGGGGAGGGCGGTGTGGTGTGGGCGAATAAGGAACATAAGAAGGAGCACGTGCAATCATCAAACAAACAATCGTCTTCCCGGCTTGAAGCCTGGCATGTTGTGTTCCTGGCACAACGAACCAGTGACTGCTTTAAGGCGCCTCAGAATTCAGCACAAGGAACCAGTGACCTCTGCATGTAAAAAGAGTATATTTGAGACGTCTCAAAAATACTCTTTTTACACGTGGCTTTTAAGGCGTCTCAAAACTCGGCGCAAGGAACCAGTGACCTCTGCATCCAAAATCAGAGCGAGGAGTGGGGAGAGTTGGGTGGAGAGAAAGAAGGAGGAGGGGGGAGCGGGGAGATTGGGGGCGGGAGGAGATTGGTACTCCTGGCGCAGGGAACCCGTCACCTCTGCATCCAGGATCTGAGGGGAGAGCGGGGGGGAGAGTTGGCTGGGAAAGGAGGGGGGGCGGATTGGATGGTGGGGAGGAGATTGGTCCTTGACGCAGCGAACCTGTTGCCTCTGCATCCAGGATCTGAGGGGGAAGGGGAAGGCATGAAACGACGGGGGAAAGGGGGGAAGGGGTGCATGGGGAAACAGTAACGCTGAGATTTCGGCTCAGCGAATCCAGAGCCTCTGCATGCAGAATCTGAGAGGGGGGAGGAAGAGTTAGAAGTGGGAAGACAGGGGGAAGGAGCTTGAAGAGGAAGGGGAGAAACTTTTGCGCTCCTGGCGCAGTGAATCTGTGGCCTCTGCATTGAGGATCTGGGAGAAGAGGGGGATGGGCATGCGGATGGGAAGGGGTGAAGGGACTGGGGTTGGGAAAGAGGGACAGGATAAAAGATTCAGGCTGGAAGGACGGCCAGGGGAGGGGGAGGGAGTTGGTGGGGGGAGGAAGGGGGAAGGAAGGGGGAGGAAATGTTGTGCTCCTGGCGCATCGAATCCGTGGCCTCTGCATCCAGGATCTGCGGGGGAAGGGGGAAAGGGGAAGGGGGACAATGCATGCTTGCTGGGTGCTATGCTGCTTAGCTCATTGACTCACATTCATGATGTGCTTTGCTTGTTTCGTCAGTGCCTTTGTCTTCACCCGGATCCTCCCATTCCCCACTCCCGGCTCTCCTGCTGCTGCATCTCCAACCCTCCCTGTTGACACTGCACCTCCTGCTCCAGCTGCTGCTCCTCCTGCTGCTGCTGCTGCTGCTGCTGCTGATGTTGATGAGGCTGACGTGACTGCAGCAGCTGGTGTGGATGCGGCTGACGTGGCTGCAGCAGCTGGTGTGGATGTGGCTGACGTGGCAAGGCCATGGCTAGAGATAAGCGAGGAAGATGGGATGAGAGTCGAACGGTTTCTCAAGGCAATCATTCCAGGCTGGAGCAGTGGTGCTGAAGGCGACGGTGATCGCAATAGTGACGGAGAGAGGGTAGAGCATGCATTTCCCATGACAGCGGCTGGTTGAGGTGACGATAATGCCTGACAGGGCGTTACGGAAGAGAATCGGGTAACCGTGGGTGAAAGGGGGAAGTGGGGAAGTGGGGAAGAGGGAAATAGGGGGGAGGGGAACCAGGGGGAAGTGACAAAGCAACAATGCACTATCCGTTACGCCTTGATTATCAGAAAGCTGATTCTCCCTAGACCTCCACAACCCTTCCACAATTTCACTTCTGTCAGGACACCCCTACTTGCCAGCCGCTTTGCGCCCGCCCTAATCAAGTTGTTCTGAGACGTGTCAACCAACTTAATTATCACGCCTTTTTAACCTCAGCCCGATAGACTGATCAGCGGTTCCGCTGGCAGCACGTGGAACATTCTGACAAGCCAACCGCTGCCAGCATGGCATTACCAGGTTGAAGACACGAGGCAACAGGTGCGCTTGCCACGCGGAAATCGGCGACGGCGACCCGATCCCGAAACTACGGCTTCCGAATGCAGCGGTGGACGGTGCGGCGGAAGATGTGGCGGAAGATACGGCGAGCAACGCGGCTCTCGCCAGCTGCCGCTGTCGTGCTGACACATGGCGGAACATGACGTCGGCTGTACTAAAGACAGCAGAACGACGAGCCGGCAGTCCACGAGACCAACCAACCAGCAGGAGGAGGTTCGATGCAGCTACATTAACGGCGCGGTCTTATATCAAGCAACCGGGGGTTGCTTCTATCGGATCTACGCCTGCTTGCAAACCGGTCCACCTCTCATCGATGGGAAGCACTGAGGGCGGGTTCAGCGCGTTCGTTTTTCACGATTGTACAGTTCATGCGTCGTGGTGCAAAACGTTTCCAATCGGTTCAGAGCGGTTTTCTTTTATCAACCGTATTACCGTGACGAAACAAGAGTGACCTCTCAGGATGAACATTACAATTGTGTCAAACGAACGCGCTGACCCCACCCTAAGCGCGAAGAATATTTAGCGTCGACTTTAGAACGGTTGAGTGAATTAGTATATGATGTATGATGTGTAAACATAATAAGGTGGTAATAGTGTAATGAAAATACTTATACATGTGCTTTCTTCAAGTACTCTAGAGACCAGACAAACACACCGTATTGTTTAGACGTTTGTTGCAAACGTAAAATTAGACTGGCTAGGATTCTCACTCAAGCTGAGCTACAACTTAAAATCGGCCCTGTTAGGCAACACCATCTCCCTCCTCACCCATATCTCCCTCCTAACCTCCCTCCTCACTCTCATCTCCCTCTCCACTCTCATTACCCTCTCCCTCTGCACTATCTTCAGTTTCCTCTTCCTCATCGTCATCATCACCATCATCTTGGTCATACTCATCCTCCTCATCACTTTCATCCTCTTCCTCCTCGTCTTCCTCCGACTCCTCTCCATCATCTTGATCTCCTTCCTCCCCTGTCGCAAACCCCTCCGCCCCCTCCATCCCTCCCTCTCCCTCCTCTCCCTCTTCCACATCCCCCCTCCCATGAATCACCCGAGTCCTACGGTCCGAAAGCAGGGGGCACTCACGGATCATGCACTGAATCAATTTCGGCATTTTTGAAAGAGACGACGGTAGCTGCCGCAGGCGCTCACAGTAGCACAGCCTCAGTACCTCCAGCTGGGGCAGCTGCGAAAACGATTCTGGCAGGATCTCAAGGTTCGACAGGTTGACCAAAACCAGGTTCTGAAGGGAGCAAAGCTGCCAAAAGTCTTCTGGAATGTATGAGATCAGTGGGCAACTGGAAAGGGAAAAAGCTGTCAGCCTGGACAGATTAGGGAAGCTTCTCGGAAGACGGGCCAGCTTTGCGCAATCCTCGATTCCCAGCAACTGGAGCATGTTCAGCTGCCCGAAAGACTCGGGCAGCTCACGTAGGTTTTCAAGCCTAATCAGCTGCAGAGAAGCAAGCTTGGGAAGACTTCCTATTGAGTCTGGCAAGGTCTCAAGACTGCTAGCATGAGAAATCACAAGCTCTTGCAGATTCGACAGCTCAGAGTAAGATTCTGGGAGAGAGAGCAACGCATTCATTTCTATAAGCTCAAGGCTTGTCAGGGAGGAGAGACGTCTCAGGGACGGGCAGAGGGCTTTGAAGGGAAGAGCCGTGAGTTTGAGATTTTGCAAAGATGGAAGCAGCAGGTGCTCAGCACTCCTGCTCGGCGTGCTGCTGCTGCTGCTGCCATTCACACTACAGCTGCCGCTGCCACGGGAGCTGCTACCAGTGGTGGCACCCTGTCCCTGCTCCTGCTCAGCTGCTCCCACCGTTTCATCCCCAAACAAAGTTACAAGCCCCGTGCATCCCAGCACATGTAGCTCCCGCAACGCGGGCAGCTGAAACAGCGACTTCGGGAGCGATTCCACACCGTATAACTTCGAGATCGTGAGCTCTTCAAGCCTTTCCAGAAGTCCGATCTCCTCAGGCAGCTTCTTTATCTCTAAGCAGTTTGCCACTAACATGCTGGTCAGTGTGCGGGAGAGCCCGGGGAGTGGCGAAGGGAAGGCTGAGAGGTGCGGCAAGGAGCACAGCCAGAGCTCCTTGAGGCTTTTCAAGCAGCCAAAGCCGTCAGGCAGGGGCCCTCTGAAGCTCTCTGCATTCAAGATTCTTAGGGTTTCAAGTGACGAGAGACAGGAGAAGGATGGAGGGAGGTGAGTCAGGGCCTTGCAAGGAAGTAGAAGGAATTCTCGTAAGTTCTGTAGGCCGTTTCCCATGCCGTCGGGTAGAGCTGTGAGCCTCCGGTTATCACTCAGATCCAGCTTTTCGAGGGCAGTTAACCGAGACAAAGTTTCGGGCAGCTGCTGCAACCGCGCACACTTCACCACTTTCAGCTCATCAAGATTTGTCAAGTTTCCAAGCGATTCGGGCAGGTGAGTCAGCTGTGGAAGGCTGGCCAGGCGGAGGGATTCCATTGCTGTCAGCTGCCCGATATCTTCGGGCAGGGACGTAACATTTCGGAGACCGTCAATGGCTAGTTCTCGGAGAGCAGAGGCCAGAGAGATTGAATCAGGAAGGCTTGTAAGGCTATGAGCATCCAGCATGAGGCTTTGAAGATTCGATAGCTGCCCGATGTCATCGGGCAGCGTTAAAAGTGTTGGGACAACCAGGTTCAGACCCGTGAGGGACGACACACGAGAGATGGATCCGGGCAGCGACATGATACCGAAGCAGCCAATCAATTGCAAGAGCCGCAGCCGCTGCAGCTGTCCGAGAGACTCTGGAAGCTCAGTGAGACCCATCACCTCGTCCAGAAGTAAAATCTCGAGCGCCTGCAGCTGACCAAGATTCTCGGGCAGCGGTGAAAGATCCTGGCACTTGTGAATCTCGAGGACCACCAGAGATGAGAGATTGCAAAGAGAAGCCGGAAGCTGAAGCCTGCTGGTGCCGCTGATGTAGAGATGGTCTAGATTCGCAAGTTGCCCAATAGATTCCGGGAGTGACGTGAGAGGCCCGCAAGACTCCAGGCGCAGCGACTCTAGAGATATCAGATTGCCGAAAACAGGAGGTAGTTCTTGAAGCGAGTCCATTTGCAGCACTAGGTTTTCGAGCGACTGTAACGAGGTGATGCTGTCGGGAAGGTGAGTGATGCTGCTTGCAGCGAGATGCAGATCCCTGAGCCAAGCAAGACCGCCGATGGAAGGCGGAATGGCGGTGAGACGGAGAGGGCAATCCAGATGAAGCTCCTCCAGGTGAGCACAACCCTCGAGAAGCGCGGAAAGGCCTTCCTCGGTGAAACCGCCGCGTCTGTGAATCTGATCCGTTGATTCAATGTGAAGCTGAAGCAGATCTGGACACGTGCCGGCGAGACGGATGAGGAAAAAGTCCGGGACGGAGGTGAGGCTGCCGGATGGAAGAACGAGCCTCGTGAGGCTAGGGAACGACGAGAGCTCGGAAAGCAGTTGACGCGGACTCATGCGACGGTCCTCTTGCAAGTGAATGTAGTCCTGTATGCGACAAGCGATGCGATGCCATTCCTTAGAGACGAGAGCGTGTTGGAAATAGCTGCCTGATTCGCCGACGAGGTGGAGGATCTGGGACAGCAGATCCTCCGATAGCCGTCCGATTGCGGGCCTGACCCTCATCGTGAAAGAAGCCGTTGCTAGGTGTTGTTGCTGGTTGATAGTATCAAGAAAATGGCGCAAGTGTAACACCTCCTGGGACACGAAGATAAAGACGCTGGGTTCTGGAACGATTTCTCTACGCGCGAGGGTTGGGGGATAAGGGAGGAAGGCAGGGAAGGGGGAGAAGGGGAGTGAGGGAAGAGAAGGGAGGAAGGAGAAGGTCCGTTGGGTCACTGCTGGTATTGATGACATCATCTAGTTCCGTTGGGAGAACGAGAGAACGAGACCTGTCAAGCACTTGCTAGGTTGCCAAGCGTTTTTGTTCTGCGCGAACCCAGAAAATCAAGGAATATGCGAGCTCCTGCGATCGTTCGCGAAGAAGGAAAAGATTGGCAAATTGCTCGCTAAGATTTTTTAGCCGTGCACTCCCACATTCGTTCTTTCCTGTAACTACACCGGATAAAATGCTCGCTATGGATTTTGAAATGGTACTGTCGCATTCGTACATTCTGGTAACTATCCCCAATGAAACAAACTTCGGGTCAGTAATGCAGATTGTCAAAAGCAACACGCTCCTTGACAATTTCAAGACCTCTACGGCTAGCGTCTCATCAAAGGTGCCAACATCCCTACATCCCCCCAGAAGTGAGCAGAGTACAGAATAATCCATGTGCACCTCTTGCACTGATCGAAGCAGGAAGCTGGTGGATAAAAAGAAAAAAATACCGCCCACCTAGCTACTGTCATTTCGCAACTGCGCTCTCTTATTACAGTTCTATGCAGCGCAATGAAGCGCTTTCTAGCGTCCGATGTTGGGATCGCCGTGGTGTTTGCTGTGATGCTACATTTCCAATCTGCAACTCTTGATGTCGTCGCTACCAGCAGTGACGAGCCACAAAAGCAGGGCCCGCCGTTTTTACTGTTCGGGTACTGTATTCCCGCCATTTCTTTCAGTTGCAAGCTTCTCAACGGGTACCATAACCCCATGCAAATTTTGCAGGAATGTCACTTTGGGTACAACCTTTCTCACACAACCCCGAGTTGTCCATCTTCGAGTCGACATTGAAGGCCAGGTTCGAATTCTACTCGTTCACGCGCTATGTTCTTCAGTGTGATAACTTATCGGTTTCTTGTCTTTAGAGATGGAGCTGGTCGTTGGAAATGAATAAGACGAGCTCGTACGCCTTCAAGTATGGCGGTTCCCAATCTCCGTCGAAACGAGGCACATTGACAGTCCGAATTCCACACGATGGTCAATTAACGCACGTCATCATGCATGCCTTCAAAGGTATACCCGTCTTTCCTGCACTGATGCGTGTGACAACGGCATTACCCTCTTTAAGTTGTCATTTTTTCCAGTCACGGGCATCCAGCGTTTGGACATTGACGAAAGAGACATCGACCCTGAGGAAGAAAGACCTCTGTCAACGATCTGTAAGTTTTCTTGTTATTGTTCTTGCAAGACGACTTGTACTAACTAAATTCGTGCAGCGTTGCCAGAGACTAGTGAGCTTGTGCTTCTGTTTGATGATCCTGCTCTTCTACCGGTGTGCGCTGGAGAAGAGCTTACGGAAAGCTACTGGCCCATGAGTACAGTCCATGGTATGTACAATTGCAGAAATGTTTTGATATAGAGAATCAGTCAACTGATCAGCCAATCATTTTCCTTCAGGTGCCCAGTGTTCAGTAAAATCCATCGTTTCCAGCCTAAAGCTCATCGATGATTTGACCTGCGAATGGAGAGAAGGTTCTGGAAATCTCCATTCACTATCAAGAACTGCTGGATGCTTTCTGATGTGTGGCTACGTGTTACTCGGACTCACCCACATGGGAGTTGCTCAGACTGTTCCGTCTAAGGCCCATGCACCATGCATTTCTGACGCTGGTATCAAATGGAAAACTGGCGCTGTCCAGGCATGGCAGGATGCTCAAGCGAGGCTATTGGAAGCTGAGATGTCTCAGCCTGCTTGCTTCTACTACCTTTGCACCCCACTGAGTAACTGCACTATTGAGCTCAAGGGTTTGTGGAATCGGGATCCCAATGGTCGACTTGTGAGGCCGCCTTAGTGCTAACACATGCGCAGTTCTGTGTGTCATTGAGACTTCTGTTGAAGGGCGTGCCCCTTATGAAATGTAGTACCTCATATCATGTGCAATACGAGCTTGTTCTTTTGTTGCCATAGTACCGTACTATATCCACATTGCCAGACCCCGTTCCAACCTGTTGTTGGAGGGGCATGCGCATTATCAGCAAACCGCAGAACACCTATTCTCTCTTATACACTACTCCAGTATTTGCCAGAACGCCAGTCTCTGTTCACTAAAATGAATTCTTTTCCAGCCTGTATCAAAATTATACCAGACTTCCCCACAAGGAGACAGGTCTACGTGGCATTCCTTAGTGGTACCATGTTTTCCACTCAAGACCAAATCCTTGCTAAATACAGATCAGCATTGCTGGTCCAGTCATTCCTCCAGTCATCTGCCGGTCCCATTGGTGACATGATCAGTATTTTCATGGATCCTCTTCGCCCCAGTCATCGTCAATATCATCCGCATCTCCGGCTCCTGCCTCGCCAGTTGCATCCGCATCACCAAAATCCTCCTGAAGGGCCCAGTTAAAGAAAAGGCACACACAAGTATTGTATACCAGTTTGATCATTCCAACGAGAAACAAAGCAATTTGTAGCCCATGAGCACATAGGGAAATATAGGCCCAACTTGCTTGCGTACTCACCTCAGCAGCTGCTTCCTCAGTCTCCTCTGCAGCCTCTTCAGCCACCTCTCCCTCTGCCACTGCCTCTGCCTCTGCTTCCTCTGCCTCCCCCTCCACCTCAGCCTCCTCTGCCGCTGCTCTAAGCTCATCCACTGGGTCTGAGTTAATGCTATCCTTGAGCTCCAGGTATCGCAGTGCTGGCTCCTCTGTCTCCCTGCAGAACACAAGCGAGAGAGCAGAGCACAGAAACATTCACGCACAGCTCACGCACTGATGAATTGATGAATTGAGCTGCAGGTATCGCAGTGGGGCCAGCAGGTGACAGCGAAAAAATCAGAGGACAGGGTAGCAAAGAAGCAGTGAGGAAGCAACAGAGCTCGCTCTGGAGCTGCTCCACTGTTGTTAGGGTTCAGCCTAATTGCTTGACTTGAATTATCCGAACCCTCACTCGCACCTAGTCTCACTTCTTTTTTTTTACCATCTACTTACCTCATTCCCCTCTTACGCCTCACCTGGCTGCCCGGAGCTGCTCCTCTGCTTGAAGAGCGAGAGCCCAGTTAGGGAAGAGGTTGGGGTACTCTGCTGGGTCGGCCAGTGACTCTGCTGCCTTGGCGTTGATCTGCAGTGGGAAGCAGGCAGAGAGAAGAGAAAAGAAGAAAGAGAAGGAGAGTAAGAGCCCAGCTAAGGTTGGGATACACTGCTGGGTTCGCCAGTGACTCTGCTGCCTTGGTGTTGATCTGCAGTGATGATGGGGATGTACAGGAGGGTGGAGAGCGAGGCACACGGTAAGAGGGGACAGCAGTTGGGGAAGAGGTTAGGGTAATCTGCTGGGTCAGCTGGAGACTCTACTGCCTTGCTACTGATCTTCACGTGATAAAAGATTTGTTTTGAGATGTCTCAAAACAAATCTTTTATCACGTGGGGAAGAGGTTAGGGTAATCTGCTGGGTCGGCTGGAGACTCTACTGCCTTGCTACTGATCTTCACTGAAAAGCAGGTGGAGGGAGGAGGGAAGACAGAACAGAAACATCTAAACAGAAACATTCGCACCTTCTCTCCCCAAAACATGCCTTTTTTGGATGGCACGCCACAGCTCCACCACTTCACACACCTTTGACAGTACGTATGTGGGTGTGTGCAAAGAATGCTGCCCTGTGTTGGTGCATACATACTAACTGCTGGCTTTTGCACATACTGGAACCTACAGCACATGATGCCCCCTGTTGCACCTTGTTTGCCAGTCACTAACGTACCTTCTTCAGGTCGGCCCGCCACAGCTCCACCACTTCAGACACCTTGGATGGCACGTAGGTGCGTGCAAGGAAGGCAGCCTCGGGAATTCGCCCACTGCGGTGGTCAAAGGAGGAGGGAGAGCAATCGGGCCACGATGAGAGGGAAGGTAGGAGAGCGAAAAGAGAGGAAAGGAAAGATCTGGGAACAGGTCAGCCATAACTAACGAAGGCATTATGCACATCTATATTCAAACAGCGAGGAACAGAGGAGAGGAGGAGGTGCAAAGAGGCAAAGCTCATGACTGATATATTTTCACTTCCCAGGAATAGTCACACAACCAGAGGCATTCTTTACAACATCTCTTTGCCCCATACCTCTGGCACAGCAGCCCAATGCACTCCTGAGAACTTTAAGTCGACTCAAAAGTCACCTGAATTTTTGAGTCCACTCAAAAGTCATCTCTTCGCCCCATACCTCTGGCACAGCAGTCCAATGCACTCCTCCGTCTGCTGCAGCAGGAACAGACAAAGGAACGCCACGTTGAACTTGCCGCCCGCCCGTGCCTTCTCCGCCAGCTGGCGGATGCCGTCCCGGTTGCCCTGCGCCGTGTACAGCAGCAGCAGCCCACTCATGTCCGACGCGGCACCCAGACACCGCTCTGCCAGCTCAATCTAAAAAGTTAGGGAGGGAAGCATTGGCAAGGCAGGAAAGGAAAACAAGAAGGGATTATTTAAGCCAAGTTCCGGACTCTCTATCAGCTGGCGGATGCTGTCCCGTTTGCCCTGCGCCGTGTACAGCAGCAGCAGCCCGCTCAAGGCCGACGCAGCCCCCAGACATCTCTCTGCCAGCTCGATCTGTAGAGGGTACAGGGAGAGATGGAAGGCAAAAAGAGAGGTTAAAACAAGGGAGGTGAGAGAAGGGGAGGTGAGACAAGGGGAGGTGTGCGAGGAAGGGAGGTGTGAGAGAGAAACATCACCCACCTGCTTTCATGTGCTCTCACTCTCTCCCTCACCCCACTATTCGACCCATCTCACTCTCTCTCCCATCATACTCTCTGCCCCACCCCCCACTCG